ACGCTGTTTGCTGCGTCTATGCCTTAAATCAGTGGTGGGTGTTTCCTGCATAGAGGACTTTTTGACACCCTCCAGATAGGTTCTAGCTAGCACAAAAAGAAAATCACTACTTTTTTTTTCTTTTTAGAATTAACAGACAAATAGCAAAGGCCCATTCTGAGTAAAACAAAAACCCTGCACTAGTTTCCAGTTAAGAGTTGGATCTACCCCACTGGCCCTTACATACAACTGGAATTAAAAGGAACATTTGTTCTCACTCTATAGATTTCCCCTAAATCAAACCATTTGGGAAGAGAAACTTGCTGTCTAGTTAGTTTCATTTTGAGAAACGTCTGCCTTACACTCTTTATTTATACGTTTTTACATAACGTGTGTTTTAATCCATTTAAGTATAACCTCACATCGTGCTGCCCCCCTTTGCTATATTATTTTCTGGTTAGACAAAAAACTGATTATCATTTTATTTTAAGTGCACTAATCGTATTACCATGCGCTGATTTCCTCTCCACCAGCTGCTCTTCTTCAACATGCCCCTCACCTTTTACCTCTGCTGGAGCCTCCATCACCGTTGCCGCGGCAACACCTTCCGATCCCACTTCCTGCGGCCGGGCTGCCGCTGGCGGACTCTGGCGGTTCACCTCTTCATGCTGCTGCTGCTCACCTGGCAGGCCCACTCCTGCTACTTTCTCCTGGAGACCTACGGCCCCATGGCCTTTTTCCTGTCTCCCGTCCGCACGTGGGCGCTAGGGCTCAGCCTGCTATTGGTCTACCGCGCCTGGACAGGCCCCGCCCCTTTCCTTCGAGACAACAGCAAGAGCGTCTCTCCCTCTTGACAGTAATTGCACTGTACCACCGCGATCCCCCTCCCTCCTCCTCGAGCCTGACTCACAGATATATTTTGCTGTCTCTTTCCACCCCGAAAGCCTCAATTTCCCCCCCACACAGCAGCCCCCCCTTCCTTCTTTTCTCTCCTCTATCCAAAGCCACTTCACAGTACATCACTCACTATCCTGTTTCTAGATAGTATTGTTTACTTAATATGCATGTTATTGTAAAGCACCAATGCGCACATTTCTGGCCATATTCATAGCAATGTGTACAGTGTAAAGAAAAAAAAAAAACAAATCACCTTGGATACATTAAGGGTAAAATAGCCGATTCGAGCTATGTGAGGACGTCGTGTGCTGCGGTTGACAGTATACCTTGATAGAGCTGTATTCTGCTGTGGTTTAAGTTGAGATTTAGCACTTTTTGGAAGTGTTGCCTTGGCCAAAAGCCACTTCACCACTGCCAAAGGATGAATAAGAAAGATTTCACCTTTTATTCTTCCCTCTGAAAACCACTCACTAACGAAGGCTGGATGTGCCAAACTGATTCTCGTGTTTACCTTCGCAAGACAAAAGGGGTACAACCACATTTTATACACCGTAAGCTCTCCCCAACTTCCCCGTGGCTTACAGGCAGTAGTTCAGCCGAGATGATCATATTCTTAAGTTTATTCTACGCATAACGACAGAAAAATCAAAGGAGGGAAAGTACAAATCAATCAAGTACTGTAGTTGGTCCGTGTGTCTTTAAATCAAACGAATTCCATTGCAAACAACTGCCAGTACAAAGTCAATGTTCACATTGGAATATTCATATCAAAAAAATAACCTTCAACGCCACTCTTCAGCAAAACGCAGAGAAGCCGGCTTGACTTTTCCTGCTCCTTCAAACGTGACTACAGAAAGCAGCTGTTTGTTTCTCAGGAATGTGAGCACTTGAACAATAGGCTGGTCCCAGTAGTATTTCAGGACAATGTTTTTATACTCCATAGTAGCTCAGTGAACTAAAACCATGTCAAACAATCCAGATGTGTGGTGGCTAAAAAAAAAAAATAACAAAAAAAAAAAGACGAAGAAGAAGAAAAAAAAAAAGAATCAAAATGAATGTGTTCTAGCTGTGGTAACATGAGATCAACCAGTACTATGCTGTTTTATTTATTCATTCTGATTGTATCGTGTGATTATTTGATTTATTTTTTTTAATCCCCCCCCCTTTCCTCTCATGTTATAAATCAGCACTGAAAATGGGTATTCTTCACCTGCACGGTGAGCGTGGTTAGGAAGATATTAGAGCATTCCCTGTGTTGGAAGTTAATTTTTACAAGATTTTATGTGTGCAATAATGTTTTGTCTTTATTGTTCTGAATGTGAATTTTTTATTTTTTTTTTCTTTGTGAAGGTGTGAGAGCAGTAAATTGTGTCATTTGCACTGTAATTCAATCCTTTCTAGTCTGCAGTAGCAGTTGCCTGGATTCCACACGAGGGCAAACGGTACATAAATATGAAGAAGAACGCATTTATCAAGACTTTTAATAGACGAAATATTCCAATAGAGTTAGATCCTGGTATGTTTTTTTTTTCTCTCCAACCATACCCAGCTTGAGTGCAGAATAATTGCTCAGTGCTGTGATAAGACACGTAGTTTAATATTAGAACAGCTGCTAGACACTGAGAAAATTAAATTAGGTGCACTCTTGCTGGCAGTGGTTTAATAACTTTTTTCTCTCCCCACTTCGCTGCATCGACAAATCCTCTTCATTTATACAGGAGCACTACCAAGTGTGTAATTTCTGCGTAGAAAAAAAAAAAAAGGATACTTTATGGACTTTTATTATTGGAGAGTTTTTTTTCCTTCTTCTCTAATAACACTCTCTCAAGCTGCCCCACAAGGAGGCAGTACTGAGTGAATCCGGACGGTAATGAGAGATGACTGTGCTGCATTTCACTTCCCCCGCCAAATTATGCATGGGACTGTTATTTTCTTCTTTTTTTGTTCTTTTTTTTTTTTTTACAGTGAAGCACCAAAACCCTTGTCTTGACAGGGCAGGCTTCATAGTTTATCATCACCTATAAATCTGACGTGATTGTCCTCCGCTGTACACTGATTCGACTGTTCACGACATGGACTGACACGGACTCCGCCGCATCAACGAGGAGGAATATGCTGTCAAAGTGATGTTCTGCTGTTCATGTGACTTACTCTGCAACCCCACCTCTCTCTCTCTCTCTTAATTTCAAACACTGAAGCATATGAATGAGTAGATGACGATTTTACACCTGCCACATATTTTTCTTGTGACAACTGAAATTTAGAGCCAACCACAATTTTATTTTGTTAATGGTTTATAGTGCTGTGGAATAAAAATGTTCATTACAGTAAACCACATACGTTGTCTTTGCTCATTGTCATGTACCGTTACACAGGAGTCAGAAGGAACATGGAGATAATTACAAGTGACATCATCAATAAATAACACTGTTAGTTGGTTGAAATGCAGTGTAGAAGAAGTAGAAAGCTTTATACTTTTAGTTTTCTCCACAGTGAGCTGATGACAGATTATTTTGCTCCTTTATTTTATCCTTTTCAAGCCCTTTTTTTTTATTTCCAAGGTCCTTAGACTTGCTATTTTTAGATCTTGGCACATATTCAGTCATTTATCGACACCCTATTTCCCCACACAGCCATTTTTCTCACATTTCCAATTATCCTCGTGCTTAAACGATAATTGGACGGATGTGTTTTGGAGCTTAACTGCAAAGCACCAGCTCTTATTAAAACTAAACCAGTCAGTAAATGCAGTGTTACACAGTGCTGTAGCACCACCGGCAGTACATTTACTCAAGTCCAGTTTTGCAGCACATGCACTTGAGTATTTCCGTTTTATGCTACATTTCAGAGGTATACATTGTACTTTCTAATCCTCCGTATTTGTTTCCCAGCTTCGGTTAGACGTTACAAATATGTTAAAAATGAAACCACTCATGTGCAGCCTGCTCTGCTACAGAAATGTGTAATCAGGGTCACGTTTTAGAGTCGTTAACAGCTCAACCAAACGGGTTTTCCCCTCTGAACGTCTCACATGCTGTCAGATAATAGAAAAGCTGAGAACAGATTTGTGTATCAAAATGTTGGTTTTCTTATTTTTTTTCTCTCATTCTCCATCATGTTTGGAGCCCTAAGATTTATCTGCTGTCCATGTATATAAAACTGTACGAAATAGTTCAAACCTGCAGCAGCTACAACAGAAACACACATCAATAACCAGTATTAATTATCTAATCACGTCATGTATAGTAATATATCAGTCAGAGGGATCAAACCAGGACTATTTGTTCAACACTTTGAACTATATTTTGCTGGTAAGAGTTGTGAAAATTTACTTAAGCAGGATTTTTCATGCTGCTCTTCTATTTTTTTTACATGGCTACATTGGTCATTTTACTTCCTTCCCCACTTTGCACCAGTATAAACCTGTCCACTCTTTGTGGCTTAAGTACAAGTAAGGCAGTAGCTGGTTGGGTAATGTGACTTTTCTCTTTTTTAAAGAAATGTATTTCCATTGGTTCAGAGAAGAAAAAAGCACTTGAAGGTAATTCTATGTGAAGTCTTGTTCTAGTCTGCTGTTGTTTCCCTGCCGCTATGAGTGTTGACGGTATTTACATGGTGATGCAAAGCAGTATGCTGTACAGTACGTGGATATTAACTTTACCTGCACTGTTTGGTGCAGTTGTGTGAATAATCAAAGCCAATCTTTTTTTTTTTTTCCAACTGATTGGAGGTTAAAAAAGGACAAAAATGTTAAAGATTTTGATTTATTTTTACACTGCATTTGAAACATTATTCTCACATATGTTTCACTTGGGGCTGCAAGGTGGCTCGGTGGTTAGCACCGTTGGGCCGCAGCAAGAAGGCCAGTTTGCATCCCAGTGAGGACACCCGGGATCTTTCTGTGTGGAGTTCACATGTTCTCCCCGTGCAGCGTCAGTTCTCTCCGGGTTCTCCGGCTTCCTCCCACACAGTCCAAAAACATGCTGAGGTTAATTGGTGATTCTAAATTGTCCGTAGGTGTGAATGTGAGTGTGCTTGGTTGTCTGTCTCTAAGTGTGGCCCTGTGATAGACTGGTGACCTGTCCAGGGTGTCCCCTGCCTTCACCCTGAGTCAGCTGGGATAGGCTCCAGCCCCCCATGACCCTAGTGAGGATTAAGAGGTGTATAGATAATGGATGGATGGATGTTTAACTTGTTTGACAGCCCTTTGTCAGTATTGAGGTTACAAGACGACCTCTGCTAATGTCTTATTAAATCTGCAGTAATTGCATGATTTTTAGGTTCATACCATGAAGCAGTAATGCAATAGTTTTCTCCAGATTTGTACCTGCTGCCCCTTTTTCAAAAGTCTGAATCAACAGGTAATTAAAATCAAGACTTTTCTTCTAGGCATTCTTTACACGTCATTTCGTTCTTAATTGATTTTTCACTTACAGTGCGTGGTTGCAATCAGCCGGCATCAGTTAATTAATGCAATACTTTGCTAGAGTTCATTAAGTTAGTGTTAATGGTGGTGACAAACAGGCAGATGGGGGTTAATTTCCCAGGCGCAGTCTCTGCTGGAAACAGCGGTTGTTTTCTTCAGGCTGAGATCTTTATAATTTGCTTGCCAATGTTTCCCCCTTTCATCATGGAGCAAAATGCAACTAAAAGGAAATGAAAAAAAAAAAAAGAATAAACTCCTGCCACAAAGAAGTCACATAATACAGAAAAACCTGAATACTCACGTACCTCCCATATTTTCTATACCATTCACCACAGTTTCTAGCACCTGCAGAGAGGAGGGCAAAGTAAAACTAATGAGAAAAGACAGGCGAGGAAGAGGCATTTTGCAAGTTACCCACACAGTCAACCACCATTTCCTCCGTACCTTGATCTGGGCCGATTTGACCCACTGGCTGAGCTCAAAGAGGGCAGCGTCGACTTTGCTCATGTAGTTCAGCACCATAAATCGCTCCCGGGTGATGTTCTTGCTTCGCAGGTTTTCCTGGGTCTCGTCGCTCAGGGGCGGAGGATAAGGCACGTCTTTGTTGTACTGCGAGATCTGCCCGCACAGGATCACGTGGCCGCCGTTGTTCATCTGGAGGTAAAGGGAGGGATGGAGGTAGTAAGTTAACAGGACACAAACATGGGACTGTTGTGCTCAGAATCCACTTCCAGGCACATAAAAACAACACCTGTGCTATAACAGTGTCACTAATGGCGCCTCCCACGTTGTCAAAGTAAACGTCGATGCCATCGGGACAGCTCTCCTTGAGTTTTGCCGTGACATCTTCCTGCCGATAGTTTACAGCTGCAGAGAAGCCCAGATCTTCCACTAGAGCTTTACACTTCTCATCTGAACCACAGATCCCAACCACCCTCACGCATCCATCCAGCCGGCCGATCTGGAAGAAGAAAAAAAAAGCCGTGTGAAACGAATGATACAATCAGGATCTCACTTCTTTCCTTTACTCCTGTAATCTTATCTGCATTCATGTTAGCATCTGTGGTTAGCCTGATCACATCTGCTGCCTTCAGTATGCCTTTTGAAACACACATTCCTCTCGATAACCATCTGGCATGAATCTGTAATGCATTTAGGCCCATTATTTAGGATGAGAAATGTTTTTTAACTTTAATAATTAATAGAAAGCCCACAATTTTAGGAATGCCATGTTGGTGCATTTATTAAACACATTGAAACGGCTGTTAAGACTGTTTGATTGATTAGCTGCCAACTATTATATTAGGCACAAACTATTTTGCTAATCAATTATTTGGTTTAAGTACAAAAAGAAAGAAAGAAATGAATTCCAGCTTCTTAAATTGTCTTCTTATTTCCTTCTCTGTGACAGTAAACTGAATATCTTTGGGTTGTGGACACAATAAGACATTTAAAAAAGGTAATCTTTGGCTTTGGGAAACACTGATTAACAATTTTTAAGACACTTTATAGACCAAACAACTAACCCATTAATCAAGAAAATGATGTACGGATTACACAACAAAGAAAATAACAGCAGATTGCAGCCCTACTTGCTGTATTTGTTCTCACACAGTGCAATTTTATCTTTATTCTTATTTTTATTTTATCTTCATTCTGTTTTTTGTAATGACTTTGTGCTCTTTTGCTGTATGCTGCTAATCTAAAGAGCTGCTAAACTGCCTTTCGTTGTTGCCCAACAATGACAGGAAAGGTCTATTCTTTTCTATTTACCTGTCCAGCTAAGGAGCCGCAGGCGCCAGCTGCACCACTGACCACCATCGTCTGATTGGCCCCTTTGGTCACATGACCCTTCTCCCTGACGCCCAGCAGCGCAGTGAGGCCTGTCATTCCAACTGCACCCAAAAGGTAGGACAAGTGCCCATCAACCAACTGCGGATCGACCTACAATCGACAAAACAGAAGTCATGTCTGGAGCTTTCACGTGTACAGAGCACATTGCGACTTTTATCATAAAGACATTTTTGCAAAAGGAAACATGACCCAATCCACCTGTTTAATGAACTACAGCATAGCTCAGTTATGCCACACCTTCTGTAAGCCGCTCCCTGCCATAACAGCATGGGTCTGCCAAGGCCAGTTGAACGACGTGACCACATCTCCCTCAGCGCAGGTGGTGCAGCGGCTGGACTCGACCACGCCGACCCCACCGCCATCCACACTTTCCGACAGCTGCCATGGACTCAGGTACTCGGCACCGGTGTCTTCGTTCATTCTGCAGCGCTGACGGGAAAAGACAAAAAGGTGAGTGGGAGTAATGGGGGGTTGAGAGGCTAGTATTGTGAAAGAAACTTGGGTCATGCTTCCTTACAAAACAAAATATAGCGTATACACTAGTGATGCACAATATTAAAATTTCTGGCCGATACCGATATCCGATATTAAGATTTCTGATATCACTGATAACCAATATTACCGACGTCGATATTCAATTTTCATTCACACCAAAAATGAGTAGAAGTAGGCACTGTAAAAATATGAACCCTATTCAAAAGAAGCCCAAATTAGATCACTTAGTCTTCTTTATTATGTAACTAAAGTAAAACATATTTAAACATATTTTACCATATTTAACGTTCAAGTCCAGGACCATTTAAGCAAAAACATCTGTGAAATAGCAGCAATATCAAATGTAGAGACGAAGGCGCTAATGTTAGACAATCATCGGCTAAATTTTTTCATCAGACCGACACCGATATATTGGAAAAAATACAAATATCGGCCGATACCGATGTGGTCGCCGATATATCATGCATCCGTAGTATACACGAATTAGTCACAACATTAAAACCACCTCTTACAACATGTCGCCCCCCCTCTGTACAGCCAAAACAATGTGTCCTGTGGTGTCTGGGGACAGGAACAGTGGTGGGTCCTGTAAGATGCAATTTGGGGCCTCTGTGGATCAGGTTTGTTCCAGTGCTTCGCCTGGATGCTCAATCGTATTGGGATGTGGGCAGTCTGGAGGGTGGGTCAACACATTGGACTCTTGGTTTACACTGTAGCAGGGTGCACTGTCCAGCTAGGGTGCTGTGTTCAGTCTTTAGGTGGCAAAATAACATCCACGTGAATGCTAGAATATTGCACTATAATAAGATCAATGCAATTCTCTTCTCCTGTCAGTGGTTGTAATGTTGAGATTGATGCAGATCCCTATGCTGCAACCCTGTCTTGTGACATTTAAAAACACCAAACTGCCTGGTAAGTCCACATGCATGAGTAAACACTAAAGGTCATCAAACATGCCCGTTGCTGTGACTGTATAAATACCATGTAGGGGTCGACTGAGAGGTAAAGCGTCCGAACAAGGACCTCCCCATCCTTCAGCTCAGGTGCTAAAGTCGTCTCCTCCAGGCGGAAATTCTCAGGAACTGGCGCCCCGTTTTTACCTTTTTTTCGTGAATGAGAGGCGTTGAGTTAGCTGCACGTGTGCAGCACAGGCTACAAGAAAACTTAAGTTCTTTAAATATATATGTATGAAACCACCCACCTGGCCGTGAGTTGAGGACGACTCTCTGCACCTGCATCCTTGTAAAGTAACTCGAGCCTCGTAGCGGTGTTTGTACTGATAACCAAACCTGGCAAAGGAAGCTTCTATGTGCGGTCAAAGCGTTATTAATAAAAGCGTGTTTAACAGTAAATAGCAACACTAGGAAATGACCAAACCTGATGGCAAAACCTTGTTGTTAACACTGCTCACATTAGCTAACAGGTCCTTGTTTGCATGCTAGCAGAAAGTTAACAAAGAGCACCAAGAAAGTCACTTTGAGAGCAAAGCGAGATGCTTCCCTGTTGCGCACTTCAGTCTTCGTTTAAATCCCTGCCAGGCAGTTGGAGTTCCTAATTTTGAAGATGAGAGGAAATAAATACGTCTAATTTTCGATGTTGTCTCCGTTTTCTAGTAATTGGTATCACTTCAAACTGCTAACATCTCAGTTTGACAGCGGTTGTGTGTATATTTTACCGTCTTAAAAAAAAAAAGACTGGTTCATTCTGCGCATGCCCAGCTTCAGCTAAAGTACTATTTTTATTAAATTATAAATTTCATGTTGCGTATTTATTTCTTAGCGAGTATTTAAAGACGCTACGTGTTAAGTTGAGATGGTTATTTTACAGTGCGACATTATTTTCCCGATTTTCCGGCGCAGCGGTGGATTACTATCTTGCAAAGCGAGGTGAGGTTTCGCCGTTAAAGGCAGCTGATTTAGAAACGGTACGCGCCCTCAGCGGTCTGTTTTATTATTCCACTTCATCATCGCTGCAGCTCTTCAACATATTCAGCAGCGGATTTAACTGCATCTGGCGTCAGGGTAGGTCTGTTACTCGTGGAGGCTCTTGAACACGCGATGTAAAAGTGAGCCCAAAGTGGAACTGGGAAGTGACGCCTTGTGGAGGAATCTGACAAAATAATTTAAAAAAAAAGTTTATGGTGTCGGAGTGAGTCGCTGCCGTTACATTAGCATAACGTCAACTGTAGCCGTCAGAGCAACGACATGAAGGCTTGTGTACCATGGAGGGACCTCGTTTAATGTAAGTATGCTTGCTTGTGCATGATAGCTCCAGCTGAGTGTTGTGTTTATGAGGAGACTGTTGGTTTAGGAAGGCTGTTATTAGCCATATGATATGACTGGACAGCTAGCCGGTGAATGTAGCTAGCTTCACCTGATCTGACACCTTCCTCCAAACGCACACAAATGTGAGTGTCCCAGAAAGACCCAGAGTGCCATACATAGTGTATGTACATGAATATCTGGCTCTGCTGTGCAGAAATAGTCCCCCTCTTCCAACACTATGCCATCTGCATGTTAAAGTGAATCTAACAAGTCTTAAACAACAGCATCAGGTTCATCCAAGTATCACTTCACAGCAAAACAATCAGAACTTACAGGGCAATTTAATAGCTATCAGATTATCTAAAAAGCTTCATATGTTGTACACTTGATTAAGCATGAAAGTGGTATTCTGGATCCCAGCTGTTAATCATATTCACTAACAGTTCAGCTATTCATTCATTTCTTGATTTGGACTCTTAAGATGTCAGAAAAAAAGAGAAATCATTCCTCTCACCATTTTCTACATGTTTAGAGGTTGCTTTTTCAAAGAAAATAAGCTGCAGATATTTCATAAGATTGCTTGAAAAATGGCTTTAATCATTGAAGCTGCAATGATCAATCGATTAGTTGTCAACAAATGAATTGTTCTGCAACTGTTTTGATAATTGGTTAAGGTAAAACTAGATTTAAAAAGCCAAAAAAATACTAGTAACCTGAATATCCTTGGGTCATGGATAAAACAAGACATTTGAGGATGTTGTCTCGGGCTTTGGGAAACAGTGATGGACAATTTTGACCTTTTTCTGATGTTTTACAGCCCAAACAAATAATTAATAGAGCAAATAATTAGCAAATTAACCAACAGTAGAAATAGTTGTTAGTTGCAGCCTCATTACCAATTAATTAGTCAGTTGTTGGTAAATAATATGTCCATTGACTAACCAATTAGTCATCTAATTGTTTAACCGTTATCAGCTTTGAAAAATCATATTGCTGCATCCAAGAGGAAAGGCTGTCTTCCACACACTCAGACTGGCAGCACATCCCCCTGCACAGTAACAGTGTCATCAGAGGTAGGCATGTCAGTCTGACTCAACTTCTTGTCAACTGCATCTGTGAATGTTTTCAGGCTTTGCACTTTATTTTAAGGGCCACAGAGAAGAGAGAAAGAGAGAGACTGTAGGCCTGCACAGGCGGGCTGACACATGCTCGATCATGTCCAATGCTACAGAAAGTCTGCATCATCATTTACTACAGGCTTGTAATTGGCCTGTTTTCATCTTCTCATAGTGGAATCCAGCCATCATAAGCTGCATTAGTTACACATTTGCTACACTCTGTGATAAAGGGCCTGTGCAGTCTTGGGGCAAACACCCACGTGTCCAGTAGTTGCTGATTAATTTTCAGCTGATTGAATTGTTTGGGTTTGTTGACTAAATAATACCCAGTTTTTTTTTTCTAGATTGCATTACACAGGTGGCTGTTTGCCTCATGGTGATCAGGGTCACTTGGTATCGAGGCTATGGTTTGATTTGTTTGACATTACATCACTGAGTAGGTCACAGATCGCCTTGCAACATCTGAGGTTTGGTTAAGGACTCAGTGTTATTCCGTCACATGAACACAGGCAGAGCAAATGGCATGGATTGAATGTATTAGCACAGAAAGTATTCTATGGCAGGATACTATTTTACTTATTATAGCAGGAAAACATGAATGATCGCCCAATGATTCCAACAAGCCAGCTGTCTGGATCTAACATCTATTATTAATTGAGCCAATTCTTTGCTATGAAATGCCTGTGAGAATGCCAATTTTTCTTTATACTATATGTCTAATTTCTAATTGTAATTTAGCTATATAACCTTATTTTAATGATATTTTAAGCAACTTGTCATGAAAAAATGCCACATGTGCTCTGGTTCCACCTCAAGATTCAACATGAGATTTGCTGCTTTTCTAATAATATCTTTAATATGCCAATAGTGATGTATTTTATAACATTTTGTAGGGTTTTAATTTCAGATATGTAAATTACTCAGACAAAACCATGTCATGAATAACACAAAAGGGTCTTGACCTTAGTAATTACACT